CATTTATCAACACAGAAAATCATGAGGAACCAATGCAACCCTTAATCCACCTGATCCATTTGCTACCGAAGCCTCTCATCTTTAAGCAATATAAAATACAATCCCAATCCACTTTATCATATACGCCTTTTCCAGATCTAATTTCACTAGGACCCCCAGGTTCCCAGAGGATTTTTTGTCTTCCACACACTCATTTGTAATTAGAATGCTGTCCACAATTTGTCTCACTTTTACAAAAGCAAATTGGTTTGGGGAAATTAGATCTTCTAGGACTTCTTTGAGTCTTTTGGCCAAGACCTTATCCAGAATTTTATAGATGCTCCCTATCAAACTTATTGGTCTAAAGTCTTTAACTTCCAAGACTCCCCCTTTCTTTGGGATGAGGCAGAGAAAGGTTGAATTTAGGCCTTTGTTAACAATGGCAGAAGAGTGAAAGTCCCTAAAAAAATCCATGAGATTTGACTTTACTATTTCCCAACACTGCTGGAAGAAAAAGATGGGAAAACCATCCGGTCTTGGAGCCCTATCTCCATCCATAACGAAGACAACCTTTTTAACTTCTTCCTCTTCAAAGCTTCTTTCCAACCAAACCTTCTTTTCAGCTGATAGAGTTGTGCCTTCCCATCTATTCAATGTAAACTGGTTATTACTATCCTTGGAGTAAAGGTTTTTGAAGAAGGAAAGGAAGGCTTCCTTAATTTCCTCAGGATTCTCCACTTCCCTTTGGTTCAATTTCAGCTTAGAGATGAAGTTCTTCCTACTCCTTCCCGAGGCATAAGTGTGAAAGAATCTAGAATTATTATCTCCTTTCAGCCATCTCACTCTTGATCTTTGTCTCCGGTAAATTTCTTCTCTTCTGATCAGTTGTTCCCATTCCTTTCTCAAATATGCTCTTTTACTTTTGTTTAAAACATCAAGGGTCCCATTTTGTTCTCTACCATTCAACTCCTCTAACTCCGTCAGAATTCTTTTCTTCTCTTCTTCAACAGCTTTAAATTCCTCTCTTCCCAAGCTTTCAGGTTTCTCTTTAGAGCTCTTAATTTTTGTAGAAGCCTGAAACCAGCCCAACCCTCTACTTTGCAATCTTCCCACCATGCTACAACCTTTTTGTTGAAATCTTTGTGAGATAACCAGAATTTTTCCAGTCTAAAAGGGGTCTTTCTTTTGATAATTATTTCAGTGTTCAGCAAGATAGGTCAGTGATCTGAGGTACATCTTGGGCAAAGTTCTTCGCAAAGGTTGGGGAATCTCTCCAGCCATTCCTGAGAAAGCAGAAATCTATCAAATCTGCAACTTATGACATTTTCTTGCATATTTGACCAGGTGAAGAGTCCATTAGTAAGGGGGAGGTTGCACAAGTTATGTCTGGAACAAATTTAGATAAGTTCCTCATACTTCTGGTTGGGGCTCTACCATTGGAGTGTTCCAGACTGAATCTGGTGACGTTGAAGTCACCAGCTAAACACCACGAGATATCTTCCTCTTCATGCAGGGAATCCAATTCTTCCCAAAATCTCTCTCTCAGAAGGAGAGTTGGGGCCATACACTTCGGTAAGAATCCAGCTGAACCCATCTATAATATTTGTGAACAAAACCGAGACTGAGAATTCACCTTTGTCTATCTCCAAACCTGAGATTTCGTCTTCCTTCAATGCTAGGATGATTCCACCAGCAGATCTCACCGCTGGAACAGCAGTCCATTTTCTACCCCTTATTCCCCAAATGGCTTTCATGGGTTTTCTGTCAATAACACTTCCTTTTTTGATTCTTGAAGAATAATTATGTCTGGGTTTTCTCTTTTCAAAGTTTCTTTCACTAAGCTTCTTTTAAGCTGCCCTCCCAAACCCCTGACATTCCATCTTAATACCTTCATTGAGTCACTCTAACAGAATTCCCCTTGTTTGCCCTACTTCCATCTGAGGTGCGATCCATTAATCCCCACTGAAGCCTCTTTACTTCTTTTTTTGGGACCTTTTTTTCTACTTTTCTCCTGAATCTTACCGGATTTGGTCTTCTCTTTCTCGAAAGTTCTCTGTTTTTCATCTTCTTCATCTCTTCTTTCAATTCCCAAGGCTTCAGCTATGTTAACATTTCCCATATTCTCCACCGCCTTCCTACCAATGCTTGATGGAGCAGCTGCCTAAGAAACTTTCTGCTTTGGGTGGGATGACAATTCATTTGAACCTGAGAAAAGAGATGGAGATAAAAGACGATGAGAGATAGAAGAGGTAACAGGAGGTTGAAAGTTAGATACAGAAGAATGATGGGCGGAGTATCTCCCTGAATATGGATTAGGATTTTGGCAAGAGATAGGAGAGAGGGTTGGTGAATCTCTTCCTTGTCTGCGAACAAAGGGGTCTGATTCTGAAATTGCTCCATAGTCTGGATCAATCAAATGAGTCTGCTCGAGTATCTCCACACTTCCCCAAAACTCTTTCCCAGCGAACAAATCTTTTGCCCTTTCAAGAGCTAACTCTCGAGGGTCTAATTCTGCTTCTGTTGCATACGAGCTAAGGTCTTCCTTTGTATCATCTTCTTCACTGGCAGAAGGGAAATCCGAACTCACAGAAGGAGTTGGAGCCTTGAAGACGTTTCCAGTATGTCGGCCTGAGCCGGGGGAGTTTCCAGAATGGACTGGCCTGAGCCGGGGGTTGCTGGTGGGCTTGAGGTGTTTGCGTCGAAAACCTTATGTGGGCCTTGGGTTTGAAAGGGTCCGCCCAAAATTTCAAATCGGTCAAGGTTCAGTCTTGAAAAATCGGGTTGGGGGGGGGGGTATTTTGAAATTTGAAAAGTTTCTTCAAAGGGGGGTTGTGACTGTCCCCACCTTTCTTGCTTCTTTTAGGATCTTCAAGAACTTTAGGTTTAATGGGGAAAGAAGGCTCTTGCGCTGCTGCTCGGAATCCCGCCAGGCCGCCACCGACTTTTCTTCTCCCCTACGAAAACCTCTAGTCCGATCCAGTTTTGGAGCTGCTAAGGTAGAATTGCCACGTGGATATGTGTCGTTAGTGCGAATCAGCTCGGAGTGAGAGGGAGGTGACTCGTTCATCTTCTCCACCTCCACTGAGAGGTAGAACCACACCTTTCTGTCCAGAACGGAGATTGCTCGAGGGATAGCATGAATACCGCGGTTTTTCACCTTGATTCTGGTGAAGCTTATCTCAGAGAGGTTTAGAGTTCTAGGGTCTATTTCTTCAAGGCCTCCGCAAAGGTCTCCTATTAGGGAGAAAGTTTCCTTCGTCCAGAGGTGGAAGGGTAAACCTCTTAGCTTTAGCTAGCCTCCGAAGCTCGATTGTTCTGGGACTGCATTTATCTTTGGCCACCAGCGCTCTATTTGAACCCAGCCACCGAAGACAAAAAATGATTTAATCTTGGTCCAGGATAAGATCAGATCTTCTGAAGGGGCAAAACCCACTGCTTTGTTTTGTTCAAAAGGGCGCAGTTTCAGTAAATATTTTGAGTGTAGAATCGCGGACAATCCTAACTCATCTTCTTTCCAGTTCAACGAAGGTGGTTTCGAGCATACAAAGGCCAACTTCCAGTTTCCGAAAGGTTTATCTTGATGGACAATAGACAGGAATGCAGAACCTCCAGTCTTAATTATCCTACTTTTGGCTTCAAACGAGGGGAAGAGATCTTGCGTTAAGTTTACAGGACAGGGGTTCACTTTGGGAGGACAAGCACAATCCAAAAACTGGATGAAAGAATTCCAACCTCCAGTTTCTGCTTCTTCTGGGATGCATATAGTCCTTACTTTGTCTGATTTTTCCCATCTACTAAGACGAATGAATCTCCCCCATGTATTTTCTTTAAGCTGTAGGCATAGGATTCTTCCTTTGTTGACTCTCTTACGGTCTGCTAAATGTTTTCGCTTGTTTTCCAAAGCTTCCTGAATGTAAGTTCTGGTCCAGAGAACGTCCTCTTGAGACAGGACTATTCGTGCCCACGCTCCCATGCCCCTTTCCATTAATGCAAGATCATCTCCATGGTTGAGACTTCGTTTGATTTCAGAGGATTTTGATCCGACTATCACGAATCTCCTTTCCATCTCCCAGCTTTCAGAAACTACTTACCTTAGGTTTTTCTTGCTTTGAGAATTGTTGCCATTAATGCAAGATCATCTCCATGGTTGGGACTTCGTCTGATTTCAGAGGATTTTGATCCGACTAACACGAATCTCCTTTCCATCTCCCAGCTTTCAGAAACTACTTACCTTTAGGTTTTTCTTGCTTTGAGAATTGTCGCCGGTTGCCGGTGTTAACAATCTCCGGTGATGTTCTTCATTTTGCAGTCGCTGGTTGATAAATGATAACGAGGTTTCAGATCTTCATGGGAACCCATAAAATCATCTGGACATATTGGTTGTTTATTGATGGTCTGCCCATATACCACGTCAAATGACAAGTTGGTACACTATTGTGGACTTGGTGGTGAGGTACAGAATACAGTTTTATAAATATAAGTCACCACTTTGTTTGTTGTTGGATCATGATGATGAAGAACAGAGCAGACTTGCTGTGAGAATGATGTTGTGTTTTTGTTATCATCCATTTTTTTCTGCCTCGTAACACCCTTTAATAGACAGATATTAGAAAGTGACAGGGCATGATTTATTGCTAAATCATTGAATCACAATTCTTTGTCTAATATCATAGCAAATTATATTATCGAAAATGCATGTTGCGGTGCTACCTGTGATGAAATGATTCCACTGTGGTCTTCCAGTGAATTTTCAAAGTGCAAAGTTCACCATCTAGCTGTTCTAAGTTATAACTGAAGATAGCACTGGGTAAGTCAGACATTTCAAGAAATAAACTCTAATTTTTTTAATAACTGGGATGGCTTTCTTAGATGAGCACATTATGGGTTACAAATCCTCCAAAAGCTAGAAAAAACAATTTCATTTTGTGGCATCTTGTTATTCTCAGTTCTTGACTTGCTAACTTTTATTTAAGCTATCATTTTATATTTATTCTTATGTTTTGTTACTATGTAACCTGCAGGTTTTGAACGTCCTTTTAATCTTGAATGGCCAATTGCTTAAGATTTTACTGATGTAGACCTTGAAATGATATAGTTTATGGTTCATGGCCCGGTTATATAAAAGGTAATCAACATCTATTAAACTGAAAAACATACATACAATTTACCTGGGGTTAGAACTTATCCACTTATATCATGTGCATATTTTTGTTTATTCACAAATAAAATTTGTATCCTTAATTTTGGATTGGTTAGAATTATCTAACTTGGCTAAGGTTGACATCCCATGCAGTGAAACTGCTACCAAATGCTGTGCCCTCTAATGTAAGTTGGTGTTACCAGTGCTGTCACTATTAGGGAGCTGAAGTCCAAGACTCCATTTCATGTGAATACTTATAGTAGGTGTTTGTTAGTAAGACCAAAAAATACGAGACCAGGGGCTTTCGTGGTTAGATGGATGATGACGATTTCTCCAGTTCCAATCCTGTGTATCATGATCCTTGAGGCCGTAACATAATTGTTGATAAAACGTAGTACATCCGCAGTGACAATGGTTGAACCACAAATTAATTCAGGAAAATAAGGAATTGCCCTGAGATAGGTCATCCATAAAGTTATTCTATCCTGCTTTTGTACTTATTTCTTTTGTTCTTTTAATAGAGAAATGCTGAAACTATGGCGTTTTATTTTGGTATGTGTTCCTTAATTAGCAGTTTCTCAATTAGTACAAACTTAACAATTTAACTATCTAACAGTTGCAATCCTTTAAAAGTAATACTACTATAATTATTTAATCACCTAACCTCATTTGCATGTTGATTTTGCAAATTTCCTTTTTGACCTTTTGCGCCTTTAATTTCCTTTCTCTTGATCAATTCACAGTTTCACACCACCTAATGACGGCCACAGGCTCACAGCCCTCTTTTTCGTTAGCCACAAAAAGTTTTATTTCTCTTGTTCATTGTTAATATCCTTTGTTAAAGTTCAGACCTGCACTAGAATTCTGTTAAAACTAGAGGAAGATTAGAGGAGAGAAGAAGAGAAGAAAAGAAAGGTGAAGAAGAAAACTGGTTCGAACAGGAGAGAAAAAAAACCACTTTCTTTATTGGCCAGGTTATATTTATATGTTTCTATTAGAATAAAACAAAAAGATTATTATGTCCCTACTTAAGTATGGGACACATCATTTAACATAAACATTACACATCAGCTTAAACATAAATAAAAGGAGTAAACTACCCCTATACAGTCGATACTAACAAATCCCAAGAAACAAAACCCTGTTTTTCACAAAAAAAAAAAAAAGAAGAAAAAGATAGCATACTTTCCCCACTTCAAAGATGATTTCCCTTTTACTCGGATGAAATTAGCACCTTCTCATTTGTTTTTGGATCGTATTTTGGAGAGTTATTCTGAGAAGAAGGGAAGGCAAAGTAATTAGTAACTACAACTATAACTGAATTCACAATCAGTTGGAGAATATTATGTTTACCCATATCTCATAATAGTAATGTATATTTAGGGGGATTTGCAATATTCCCTAATTTGTAATTTTATATAAGTTTGATAATTTATTGTTAGGACCATCTCTTTTCAGGAATTCTAGGTCATCAGATGACTAAGGAGCATGGATTGAAGATTTATTTTTGAACATGAATTGAAGTTTTTCTTCCTTTTTTTATGGTAGGTTAACATGGGTTGAAGATGAGCGAATTGTTTGAACAACGGCTTTATATGCATTATATATTGCTTTCTTAATCTTTTTTTTTCTCTCAATTAATGTAACAGAATCCCTAGATCTCTTCAATTGTCAACCGTTTTGGAAGACTTCAGGGGTGTTTGGCTTGAGTTTGAGAACCAGCATTTGAAATTTTGAATGGGTCGGGCTTGTCCAATGTAGCATGAGTATGACCAGATAGAGAGAGAGAGAGAGAGAGAGAAATGATCTGTGACCCCCTGTAACTCAACAGTCAACACATGTTTAGGTATTCGAGCACAGTTCTCAGAGTCTCAATGGTAGCAGCACCAATAGGTATCCGAACACCCGGGTTTCTAGGTCTACGAATAGGGGTGCAATTTGGGTGGGCCCAATTCGAGTCCGAACTGGCTTAGTCTGGAATTTTATATGGGTTGGGTTTGGATTTTCGATCCTCAGGCTGGACTCTTGTTCAAGAAGTCTGGCTTTTTTTTATTTTTTGGGCTGGGTTCAGGCCTAGCCCTTGAGTAGCCTGAATTCAATCCAAGCCCGGTCCAATTATATACATTTATACATACATATGTGTATATGTAAATGTTGCATACATATTTACATATATATACATATATATTTGTATACATATTTTATATATTTGTATAAATACATTTGTATATGTATAATTTTAGAGTTGATTCATCGACTAACCCGAGCTTAGCCTGGGCCCGAGCCCAACCCAAATACATCAAATTACAGTGCGGGCTAGGCTCGAATTGAAAAAATCGGACTTGATCTTGAGCTCAGGCCTTAAACCCAAATTTTAGAGCCATTCCTGGATTAACCATAAATCCAGTCCAACCTGCCCAACTTGCACTTTTATCCATGAACTTTGGACCCTGTGATAATATCCAACTCGGATCCATTTAAATTAGATAAGATAAGAGGAAATAAAATAAATCTACATTTCCCCACTTTTATAAGTAGTTTATGCATGTAACAAAGATTATATTTTATTGATTTTAATTAGATTTTGCCAATGTTTATATAATCATTAGCCGATTACCATATGACCTGAGACCTAATTCGGTAAGACCCAGAACCAATGCATACAGTAGGTCAGGATATACATGGATCCAGTCCAGACCGAACCTTTTTGACACCCTCACACCCCTATGGACTATAGAGATTAATTGGATGGGAAATCATGTTGTTTTATGAACACAACTGGTTTATGGAGAAAGGTTCCATTAGAATTCTCAGAAAGCTTTGGAAACAAGACAAATTGAAGGGTAAGGATCATTTGATCATGCTGAACAGAGATATCCATTTTTAGGTGGGATGATCCATCCGGGGTCTGCCATTATTTATTTGTCTTGGCCAGATATGGGCCAACTTTGAATTTAATACCTTTGGACTTTAGACGGCCCAAGTCCTGGCCCTACGCATCCCAAAGACCAAAACCATAAGCATCTCTCACTCTGTTATGGAGAGCACGGAAGACTTTTTCTCTCTCTCTCCCAATGCAATTGTATGAATACGCATGTTCCGAACCACCTTTGACTCGAGAAGAAATCAGCATGATATTCAAAAGGAAAAAAAAAAAAAAAGGTCCAATTCCAACACCCAACCGTTCCATAAATGTGGCTTCTTAGACGGTTTAAAGCTAAACATCCGGTTAGGTAGAAATTTAGATCTATTGAATTTTTTTTGGGTAAATTGCTGAAACCTCTTATTGATGTTTTTATCAATTGCTCAAATCTCCCTTGAAGTTAGGTAATTGCAATCATCTTTTTTGAGTTTTCTGACATAGTTCCAAGTAAACTTCCTCTATGAAAATCATCTAACAATAGTCACAAAAATGTCCAAACTACTTATGGAATTACTTCTGAGGCTGGTTTCTACAAAAAAAAAAAATAATATAAATTTTATAAGCAACAAAAATTAGAGAACTAAAGTTGCAGCTTTCCCTTTGAACGATTGATATGAAGGGCAAATTTGAAAAAATAAATCAATTTTAGAAAAAGAGATTGGAAGGGTTTGGGGCACCAATTCATGTGAAGAGAAAAATTGGAAAATAAACATTTTGGTCAAAAGTTACTATATGGGTATTTTGGACATTATCATGCCTCATTCTAACAAAAGGGGTTTACTTGCAATTATGTCATAAAGTTAAGGAGAGGTGACTGCAATTAGCTCAAGGGAGATTTTAGCAATTTACCCATATTTTTTTGGATAAATTATAAATTACAAAGTACCACCTTGTACTTTGGAGATATCGATATTTAGCCATTTTTAACTTTTATTTGTAATAGAAACGCTCTGAACTTTGAATTCCAACATTTTGCCTTCAATGTTATTACTTATTATTTCATTGATTAACTTCAAAAAAAAATAATCACATTTAACTGCTTGTTAAACATTCTTAAATATTCAAACTACCCTTTCTTTAAATTATGGGGGCTATATTGTTATTTTCCATATATATTTTTATAAATATATAGTTGGGCGTGTAGGGGTGGATTTGAGTCGAGCCAAGTCGAATATTTGGCTATTTGAGCTCGACTCACTAATAGACTATCAGGCTCAAGCTCGATTCGAGCTAGAGACTTGAGCTCAAATTTGGCTCGAGTTTGAGTGTGAATTAAATGTTTTATAAGATAAAAATATGCATATAAAAATTATTTTTTATTTGATAAAAATTTAAGAAATACAAAAAAATAATAATTATTATATATATAAATTAAAATTATAATATATATATTAATATATGTATGTATACATGTATACATATAAAAACTCGATTAGACTTGTAAGCCTCATGAACCGAACTTTATTACCTCGACTCGATTAACAAACAGGCCTATATACTAAGTTCGAATATAACTCAAATCTCAATTTACACCTAGCCAAACTGAACTTTTTATGAATTGAGGTCAAATAACATGTGAAAAGCTCGGCTCATATGGCCACCCCTGACGATTAGAACAATTTAACCAATCAGACCAACGACTGAAAACAATAGATACCAGAGGCAAGCCTCATAAATACCAGAACCCAGAGGCAAGTCTAATAAGTACTCGTGTCATAATGAATGGCGTATTATTTTGGGAATCACGTGTATGCCACTGCCCAACGTAAATGTAAAAGTGCCAAAGGGTAAAATATGTAATTTTCACCTTTCCATCGATCGTACGGTTAGACTTCAATATTTTGTTCGTTAGATGAGAAGAAACGAGAAATCAGAAATGTCATCTCCTTTCTATCCCGTTCTTTTTTCTTACAAGGGGAAGCGAAGTCCTAAAATCCAAATTCCAGTAGCCGCACAAAGCCAAAGATGGGAGAGTTTGATTTTGATGAGAGAACAGAGGATTTAGCGCTCAAAGCCCTCCAAAGCCTATCTCTTTATCTCTCTCTGTCGCTCTCTTGCTTTATCATCACATCTTCGTGCTGTTGCAAGGATCCATCTTTCTCCTCTTTTGCTTCAAAACTTGTTTTTGTAGTCATAATACATTAACGATACATTCTACAAGGCTTGTCAACTCGTGTATTCGACCAATCCAACCTTTAACTTTATTTCTTATCTACCCTCGTCTCTCTGTTGCATCTTCTTAAAGGCAGAGAAGTATGGAGTTTTTATATAATCAGCTCGCTAAGGCTTCCTGTAAGGAGTCTCTTAAAGTTCTAGAGGCTGATATACAGCACGCCAATGCTTTGTGAGTTTTCATCTCCTCTCTTCCTCTCGTTATTTATTCTGTTTTAGAGAGAGAGAGATTTTATGCATGTTTATATAATGGGTTAGTGAGTTTTGCTATTTTTGCATTTTGTTGATGTTTCCCTGCAATTCCTCAGACCTTCCTCGTAATTTACATTTTGAAATCAATGAATTGATGGCATTTTAGAAAAGGAACCACCAACTTAGGATTCCAGTAAGCATAAAATCAAATTAATGAGACTGGAATAAGAAATTGTGGGTTTTCTTCGTGGGCTATTTTCTTGCATGTTGTGATTATAGTTGATAGACAGTTATGTGACTTTCGTCAAATTGACTTTTTTTTTCTTGAACGATTCTGGTTTGCAGAGCAGCTTCTATTCCCAGGGGAAAAGGTGGTGCATGTCTTCAGATGAAATTGGCTTACAATCGCTTGACGCCTATATTTCTACTTTTGCTTCAATGGATGGATTCTTCCTGTACCTGTCTACTCCCAAGATATCTCAACCTTTTCCACATACTTGTATATAAGGTTGGTTGCTACTTTTGCCTGTTCAATTAAGGCATCTCATATCTTGGTTGCCATTTTTCTTCTCTCTCTCTCTCTCTCTCTTTTATATGGGATGTTAAGCAATGTTGTATAAAGATAAGTTGTTCCTGTTTTGTGTTGGTTTCTGTAATGATTGCACAGGTTTACGCAGATGGTCGATCAAAAATTTCTTCACATGGAAGGAAAGCGACAATTAGGGAATTCTATGGTCTGTAAACAGTGCCCACTTTTTATTGTCCTAATATCTTAATGATTACATTGAGGTTTGAACTGTTTTAGTTATCTTTACTGCCTTCTCATGTCTAACCAAAACCGACTTGCAGCTGTTATATTACCCTCTCTTCAACAGCTCCATAATAAGTCAGTTGAGTTGGACATAACTCAAGAAAAGAGTTCTCGTATGGAAATATTTTTAAGGAAGGTGGAAGAGAGGAGAAAGCTATCGGATGTGGATTTAGAGAGAGAAGATGAATGTGGGATTTGCATGGAGCCATGTACTAAAGTTCTCCTGCCTAATTGTTGCCATGCAATGTGCATAAACTGCTACCATGACTGGTAAACATTATGTCCTTGTTTCAGTTTTTTTTTTTTCAATTTCAAATGACTTGCATTTTTTCTCTCATTGTTTCTGTTACCATAAAACATTACAGGAATACAAGGTCAGAGTCCTGCCCTTTTTGTCGGGGAAGCATAAAGAGAGTCAAGTCAGGAGACTTGTGGGTTCTCACTAGTCATGGTGATGTGGCTGACAAAGAGACGGTAGCCAAGGAGGACCTGTTGCGCTTCTACCTCTATATCAATCAGCTTCCAAAAGATATTCCAGACACCCTTTTCTTAGTGTATTATGAGTACCTAATCTGATCAAGGAGAGGCCAGAAGCATGATGTACAGAAAGTGCCTCACCTGATCAGTGGAAGATGGGAAGAATGATGTACAGAAACAAAAAAGGAAAAAAGGCAACCATATAATGTAAATATAGTCTGGTGAAAGTATGACTCTTCCTCTTTTCATTATAATTAAATGAAATTCATTTCTGTTGATTGTCAAAACAAAGTGTAAATAGAGACGGTTGAGGGAAAATTCCATAGTTTCTTAAGATCCCAACCAACTTTATTCTTGTTTACCATCCTCATCCAAAGGGTTCAAAACAGAGTGAATAACAAATTTCTCATTTATGGAACTTGAATTCTGCATTTTTCTTCTTTCCACCTGAAATTGCATGAGAAAGCACATAAAGGTATTTGGGTCTGTGATTCCATTTCATACATTGTATTTGAAGTCCACCTGCACTAACCTACTGATCTTTAACACAAACTGGATGTTTTTAACCTTTGGAATGGTTACATTCTGAGAATGACACTGATACAGCATATGTATTACTTTTCTTAATTTCGCAGGCATGTCATGATGATACTTCTTATCTTAAGTGGCACAGATTTTCTTTTTCCTGATAAAGTTACAATCTTGGCTTGCTACCTTGAAAGAAAACATAATTACATTAGTTAATTCTTGCTTGGAAACAAAATGCTGTTGATATGTTAATTCACTAATTAATCAATGGTTTGAGCTACCGTGGAAACAAGATACTGTCATATTGGTAACCTGGACAGTAACACAACTGATGCTGATTTCAACTGGGGAGGAAAAGGAAATATTTGTTTATCATGGACATACTGCTCCAAGTCCAAGCTGCTGTTATGTGTAGTCTGACATGAATCTCAGCAACGTAGTCCAACTCTTCTTCAGAAATCAGAACCATAGCACATAACAACTTTAGGACAAACTGTAAAAATATGAGGTTGAATTTCAAGAGCAGATTAATATCAGGAAACAGATAGTTGGTGCATTCCAGTAACTTCTTCAGCGACCAAGTAAGAATAACTTTCAGTTTTTTCTAGTGGGTAATATTTTACCAATACCCTGTAGCACTTTATCATTCAGCTGGTTAGTGCTAACTTAATTGGTCTTAAGTTCCAATTTGATCCAACCAGAAGGTGCAGGAAAGTAATTATTGTTTCGTCTCTGCAAAAGGAAAAAAGCTTGTGCAGTATATCCTAACTACTTATAATCAGGTACATCAATCCTGTTCCGCAACTCCACTCTTTGAAGGTCCACATCTTTGTCATTGATAAAAGAAAAGACCTGGAAAGGGTCCAAAAGAGTGATATTTAAATTCTTTACCCAAATTCTCAAGAAAATGCTCCTCTAATGGGGAAAGCTATTGGTAATTCACCTTTGAGCAGATTCTCAAATAAGTGTTTCCAATCCAATCCTGACCTTCATCCCTTTAATACCATGATTCTTCCTCCACAAACTTCAACATTGGTGTTGGTCATGGTATTAGGAATAATTTTGGTAATTAATTTGTTGAAAAGCTTGTTCCTTTACCAGAAACTTAATGGAAGCAAAGTTATTTCATCACTTTGACCTGATATTATTATATTTGTGCTATATACGATGCATTTGCTGTTCTCAACTTATGGTCTGACACAAGCTGTGGATTCTAAAATAGGCAAGAGGAGGCCAAAAAGTATAGCTTGAAGTTCTGATTGATTTTTAAGCCGAGACCTCATTACCTGTTCTTAGAGTGAGTAGTATATGGTCTCATCCTTTGCTGAACTGCTATTCTGTCACTTTATCCCCATCTGGTGAAAGTGTGAAACCGTGAAATGGAACATTTTTTTTTACTTCCTCTATGATCATCTTTAGTGACCATATTTGGTGATAATCTTGTATTCAAACTGAAAAACCATAGCACTTGGAATGCCAAACACATAGACTAAGCTGAGTCATGCTACAAAGCTAAGAGGATTTTTCAATGCATAGATGATTGAGAGGATGACAGCTCTCTATGTTCCTGAAAAACTTGGAGTCGATTAGCTTCTTTAAGGATGATATAATTGTTACCAGGAGTGATCCTGGTCTAAGATAAGCTATTCTGGACTAAGTTTGGTCATGCTGAAGCATGGTTTTCAAACCACTGTTGACCCAGACAGTCGGACCGTTCGGCCCGGGAATCATCCAGGCAATCGGTTCTGTTTTACCCCAAACCCAGTCCCTGGCTAAAAACCGTTGAATTGGTCAACCCATTGACCCGGCTGGTTGTTTGGCCATTTTTTATTTTAATTATTTTTTTAATTTTTTGTCAGAATGGGCCGTCCATTCGAACCGGATGGTCGAATCATTGACCAGGAAACCGGTGGCCAGAATGGTTCCGGTTTCAGGTCGTTTTTTAAAACATTGTGCTGAAGTATCTAATTTCTGTGAAGAATAGTAGTGGCATTTGAATTGCTGGCTGTTCTTCTCTATTAAAATGTCGAGGCACATCAACTATTATATCTAATTAAGGATGATATAATTGTTACCAGGAGTGATTCTGATCTAAGCTAAGCTATTCTGGACTAAGTTTGGTCATGCTGAAGTATCTAATTTCTGTGAAGAATAGCAGTGGCATTTGAATTGCTGGCCGTTCTCTATTAAAATGTTGAGGCACATCAACTATTCTAGTAAGGTTCCTCAACTCCAGAATGGTCAATGTGTGGGAAGGGCAGTGACATTAGGAGGGTCAAACGAGCATGTTATAACTTATCAGAGATAGGGCAGCCCAGTGAAGAGGCTCCCACCAATGCAGGGTCTGGGTTGATCTATTGCGACCTGGCTGACCAGGGTTATAACTTATAAGAGATAGTAAATGATTATAGATGACCCCTTTGGGAAATCTGCATTAAAAATCTGTTATGTTACCTGTGAGATTTTAACAAGTTGTTCAGTAATCTCACAGTGCACAATTGTGTCTTTCTCTAGTGGAAGGTGAAGTTATTTTCTTAGTACTCATCTTAATTCTTCACAGTGGACAATTGCTTATTCTTCATGGATTATCTCAATTTTCTTTCTTTAAACGGAGGCTAAATGCATGGTTAAATCCACTTTTTCAATTTAGGCTGCATTTGACATTCCTCAAGGACTTATTTCCTTTTTGCTGTTAAAATGCTCGGATGAATACTGAGTTTTTAACTACAAAAAGCAGATAAATCCTTAAAATAAGGAATGTCAAATGCAGCCTTTGGTCTATTTCAACTGCGCTCACAATAGCCCTTTTTTTCCTTCTCCTTTTTCTATAATAATGTCATGATGTACATCTTTCAGGTAATGTGGCACAGATCGAACAGGGACAATTAGGAAACATGAAATGAAATGAGAAATAAACCAAGCATCGCATATATATATATATATCTAATGATGTTCTAATTCAGTAAATGTCCAAACTAGCTACCTGAACTAGTTCATTAAGTTACGGCCATACAGCTACAGAGACAAAATAACAGAGATCGAAGTTGATGTGGTAACAACCAGAATAACTAATTAAGGTGGCCTTTAACTGGGTCAAGCGCCATGGATTTTGTGGCTTATCAAGATATTGAGAGGAGGGCGAGTGTACCCACCATGAAGGAACAATTCAGCAACCGTCTTGTACATGGCTTCTGTGAGGTGGACACCATCCCAGTTGATGAACTGGGCGGGGTTTGGACAGGCTTTCAATGCAGCTGGTGAGCCACATGTAGCAAATGGATCTAAGTTGTAGGGGTCACCACCAGAACCACAGCAGGTCTTGAATTTTTCCTTGAACCCATACTTGACAGGGTTCTTCACGACTGTACTGTAGGCATTGAAGTAATCCGCATAGACGATGATTGCATCTGGGTGCTGTCTCCTTAGTTCCTGCAGCTTGTTTTGGAGGGCTGTGTTGTGCATCCTGCTCTGCATGTTGGAGCTCCTCACGCACCCAACGTCGTCTCTGTCATTGGGGGGTGCGAGTGTCATGGCCAGCGACAGGCACCCCGTCATCGGCAGACCTTGAACCACGATGTACTTTGCCCCCTTCTTCAGCAATTCCTGCCCAGCCAAGCCAGTCAATAGAAACATGCAAGCATCTGCTATCCATGTTGTCCAGGTGGCAAGATTCGAGTCTGGATCGACTCGCTCAATCGACATAAAATAAAAAGTAAAAAGATGACTGCATTCCAAGTTTTATTAACGTAAGAAGTTTGATCTGTCTTACCGGCAGCACCACCGACATACCTGTAAAAATCTGGTAACACTGTTGATGGCTAGATCTTGAACAAGGGTTTGGGATACAGTAGACCCGAAAAGGTAAGCATAATCGTTCGCCCCGATCTCGCCCACCCAGAATAGTGCCTCACCCAACTCTGCTCTGCACTGGGCTGACAGTGTCGACCCACCACATCCATGGCCTTCCAAGAGTTCGTTAAACCAAGTAAGCTGAGTGTGCAGGGACTGAGGAGTCCTATTAAGCGTGAGATTGTTACGAACAAAGAAGTCATGGTCGATTGCCGTCGACCCAGCTACTGCGAAATTGACTCCATGAGATGTATCGGCCTTTCGGTTGATGTAAGGCGGTAAATACGGTAAGGACAGTGCTTCTGCTAAGAAGTCAATTACGAGCCGGCCGTCTGAGTACCGGTTGGTGGGATGGTGAAAGAAAGTGATGCCATAGGGAAGTTGGGATACATGGTCAAAACTGGTTGGGCCGGTGGATGCTGAACGCGTGTTCCCTGTATCGGTGAATGAGTCGCCGAAGGCGTAGATTTTCGTGAAACGACTCCCAATTGTCTTGCTTGTTTTACTGCTGCCGGTGGCGATGGTAGTAGCAGCTGTTAACAAAGAAAGATGAGAAGCAAATGAGATGAAGAAGATGAGGGCGGTAAGGGTCTGTGGGGAAGAGAGAGACAAAGAAGGGCAGCTGGACGCCATTGTTTGGTTAGAACTTAGAATCAGTCAAGCAGAGGTGGAGTCACAACTCACAAAGACGTGCACACTGCGGCACTTACCAGAATAGAGTAGTGTATTATATATTAAGAGCTCGGTTAATTACACAATGGTGGACGTGTCCTTTGAGGATCGACACCGTGGGCTGGCTGGATTTTAATTTTTGGTAAATGGATTGGTTCAGTCTTTTTATAACATGTATGGAAATGGAATATGGCATTCAAGTGACCTTGTCGCCGTGGGACATTAGGACAAGCTTTTCTGTTGATCATACGCAACGAAGGACTATTGCAGAAGCCCATCTGGGTCATCCGATTGGGTTGGCCAATATGATGGTTCAGGATAGACGTCCAGGATCTGAGTGGTTGATCATATCCGATCAATGAACAATGAGCGCAGAAGGTTCTTATGGGTCGATGAGTTGGTGGGTTTCCTGCCTTACAACCATGTTGCATTGTATTAAATAGAGCATGTGGGAGGAAGGGTAGAAGACGGGAGAGGAGGTTGGAGAAGATGGAGGTCTTAAATTCAGTGTTAATGCAGAGTCGGTGGAAAAGAGCGGCCAGTTTAGGTTTACTTTTTATTGTTGCTTTTTCTCTCGATATTTAAAAAAAAAAAGGGTTTTTCTCTATTTAAATCTTCACGTCATTTAATTTGATCGGTCTTGTTGGAGTTGGAGACTTTAGGGTGTACTCTACTGATTACTGAAACGTAACAGACGAGACGACGGGATCAGTCATCACTCATCGGTGTTGTCAGAGTCGGATCGGACCTGGTGGTTGACCGCTAGACCGTTGCTTAATGGGCGGTTAACCGGTAATAAACCAGTGAACTTCCTGGTTTTCCGTTTAATCAGATGCATACGTAGCAATCGTAGGAGAAATTTGTCTGTTTCCAAAGGTAATAAGATGATACCATGCATACTCAGAGAAAGAGATTTCCATTGAGGTTTCAATTGTGGATTGTATTAGGATTAAGGTTGTCTAGAAAAAGGTTAGTATTAACGTTGTTACTTGTTAATGGTGAGGTTCTACATTAGTAATAAATTCATGAGCTTCACTTTAAAGATGTGAGCTGTATTTTTAAATAATGGCATGAAATCTTATCATTGATTTCATAGTCTACTGAACAGCTAAGCTTTACTGTTTTTATTTATGGGGAGATATTCCCAATACACAAGTGCAAGTGGCTGTGAATACTGTTTTGTGAGGACTGAATCCAATTTCATTTAGGTATTAGATTTTGCATAATCATATAAATATCATTTAGATGTAACCTCCCCACCTTGTCTGTCAAGCCAAACATAATCAGAGCTTTAGGTGGCATTTGATAAATCTGAAGCCTGAAAAGCAATAAAAAAAAAACTATAAAAGTATTCAATGGAAAATTTTCTACTTTTTGCAAATATTTGAATATATTGGAGTTGTTCAATAATCTAAATGTTGTGATGTCTGAAAATTATACATTTTACTAATTTACTCCTACAAGTTGCTATTTAAATAAAAATAAATGGAAATTATTGAAATAATATGTTATTATAGAAAATATTATAAAATAATAGAAAAATATAAACTATTGTGAATTGATACAATAAAATAAAACAAATAATAAAAAAATATTAATAAAATAATAGTAATAAAAATAAAAAATATAAAAGATCATATGATATTGTTAAAAATAATATAAAATATAATAATAATAATAATAATAATAATAATACTAATAAAAAATAATATTATAAAAATGATGTAAAATAGAACATTTACCTTTATTACTTAAACAACATAAAATATAAAAAAATTCTTAACCAATAAATAGAAAATATTAAATATATTATTAAGGACAATTAAAATATACAACTATTATAATAAAATAGTTAAACACTGTAAAATAAATACAAAATATTAAACAATGGTAAACCAATAAATGAAAATGATATCAAATAAGAAAATATATAAATATAAGAACTTAAAAATGGGGTTGTATCTTTGTTTCTAGTCATTAACATGAAGATGAAAAACAAGAGTTGGGAGATCAATCATTTTTTATTAATTTTTAAAAGGGACACACTTAAGAGAGAAAGTTTCTCTTAAAAAAATATTTTATTTTTGTTTTTATAGGGGGTACACCTACTATGCTTTGCAAGGGGCGGCAGTAAGAGCAATGCCACTACTCCTCCCCATCTTCCATATCTCCTTATATTTCCCTCTTTCTCCATTTTTTTGTTATTATTTTTTTTCTTTCTCCAGCTCTAGAACAATCGGTAATCTTGGTTCGCTAACTCCTCTATTCACCATAGTGAAGAAGAGATGGGAGAGAAAGAAAATGGAGGAGATCCTATTTTTTCTTTATTCTTTTTTTTTCCTTCTCCATCCTTATTATAGAGAACAGTCAATGATCTTCGATGTTTGGCTTTGATATCGTTTTCTCAGAAAACGGTGCCACATCGGTGCCATGTAAGAAAAAGTGGTGATTCAAAAAACAACCTCTTATTTTGCATCATTTTTCCAAAAAAAAAAAAAAGTTACTCCAAACCAAGTCTTAGAAATCAGAAAAGTGTGGTTTGAAGAAACATTGGATTCATTATTTTCTCAGGAAACAACCTATTGCTGCTAGTTGTGTAATGATATGGCATCATCTTGGGTATTGGATAATATAGACCAATACTAAAAATGGTTATATAACACTGGTATCAAACAAAAGCAATACTGTTTTCCCAAAAAATAGCTTATGTGGCAACATCTATGCCAAACAAAAAAAAAAGGAATCATTTTCTGAAAAAATGGTGTAACAAACCCTCATGCATATAGCACCGTTTTTTCAGAAAACATCTCTGAAACTTAATTGATCAATTCCTCTATTCACTACATTGAAAAAAGAGATGAAGAGAGAGAGTATATGTGTTCCTGATGATGTAAAAGTATGAAAGATATTCCTGATGTGTGGCTAAAATGGGTGCTGTCCGCCTGTGCACTTTTCTTTTTGCTGGCAACGAATCCTGGCTCCTCCTTGATGGCTGAACGATGAGCATGTTTGATTGGTAATACGTAATAATATAGCCATTCCATCAATGTATCACATATCCGCTAAAAGACAAAATAACAAGTCATTCCCTTCAGCTACTTCAGTGTTGGTGTTTGTCAGAGTTCCTAAGTCCCAAGGCCGGCATGCATTGAGTAAAGTAGAAAGAGAAAGGAGAAAAAATAACATTAAACCCTAATTAGGGCAAAATAAATAATTTATACACCAGTAAGGACTAAGGACTAAGGAGGCATACCAACAGTAGCCCTCCCTTTGGCGCACCATGAGTTATTATGTACATTTTTTATACCTAATCAATTGACCAAAGGACGGTCGACAGAAGCCCTGATCGAACAAGAGATTAGCCAACTTCTGATTCATTGCCTCTGTGGGGTGGACCCCATCCCAGTTGATGTGCTTGGTAGGATCTGTACACCTAGACGCTCCCGGAGAGCCACACAGAGAATGGAGGTCGAAGTTGAGAATTCCGGCGCCGGTCCCACAGCAGGTCTTGAAGGGCTCCGAGAAGCCGAATTGAGCCGGGTTTTTCAAGATGGTAAGGAATGCATTCCAGTAATCTGCGTATATAATTGCACAGTGCGGGTACTGTTTCTCAAGGTCTACCAGCTTCCTCTGAAGGAGATCATTGTGGGCAGCCACGACTAAGTTTGCACCGGCAGCGCAGCCGGTCTCGTCCCGATCAGACGCCGGAGACAGAAACAAGTCTAATGGCAAGCAGCCTGTTGGAGGTAGCCCTTGAATCACAATGTATTTGGCCCCTCTGTCTAACAACGTCTGCCCAACCCAACAAAACATAGACGGCTACCGTCGGTCAGAACTCAACGTACTCAGAATAGAAAAGACGAGGAGGCTCAGAATTCCATACATGAGTTACGTATACGGTATACCTTCAAGAGCTTCATCACGTTTTGGACTATTCTCTGTGCGAGTGAGTGAACCGAGACTGAGGTCCCGAAATTACGAGCGTAGTCATTCACACCCATGTCACCAATCCAGAAAAGCACATCCTCCAACTCCGCCATGCACGATCTTTCCTCCTTTCGGTTGCACTCGGATTGCTGCTGCTCCTCGAAGAAGTTGATGTACCACTCCACTTGGGTCTGTAAGCTTTCCGGTACAGCCTTCCACATTAACGTGTGACCAACTTTGTTTCTCACGAAGTAATCCTTTGGAAGAACTGTTGATCCTGCTATCGCAAAGTTCACTCCCTGCGAGAAGTTGGCTGAATGGTTCTGATATGGCGGCAGGTAAGGCAGAGAGAAAGTCTCGGCTAAGAAGTCGACGAGAAGGCGGCCATCGGACAATCGATTCATGGGCTTCTTGAAGTATGTGGAGCCATAGGGGGAGTCGGATAATTGCGAATCAGCGAAGGAATTGAGATCACCCAAGAAATGAGCATTCCCGGTGTCGGTTAACGAGTCTCCAAACGCATAGATCTTTGAGAAACAACCCTTATAAGTCTTGTTGTGAGCAAAGCAAGGAGAGAGAAACAAGACGAGAAGGGAGAGTGCGACGAGGACAGGAGAGGAGCTAGGAGGATTAGCCACCATTGCTTTTAATTAGTATCCGGTGACTCTCGCCTTTTCTGCTCTTCTCTGGTTTGGTTTAATTTGTAGAGATTGGATTGGAGAAGTAATACGTAATAATTTACACAGCGCCCACCCCGGCGATCTGGTTTTAGTGAGAAGATTGCTGGGTCAGTCATGCAAGAAGTCAGAAGTGGGCTTTGGTTTAGGCAAGAGGATAGGTGATAAACGTCTTGTTGTTGATTGAAGCTCACTTGTAGGGGCTAGAGGATTGGCCAACACCAAATACTCTTCTCAAGGCTGGCTTACCAGGTATTGACTATCGACTTTGTCATGGGCAGTGCCATATCATGCGGGACTTACCCCCACATATATAGGGGATTTGAATTCGAATACCTCTAAGGCTCTAACAAAATGATGATTCTCTATTCTCCAGTGAGAGGGGCAAAGGGAATGCATAGTAGGGATGATCATTTCAACCCAAATCAGGGCTTGGGACCCGCATCAGGCCCACAAAATTTAGGGTCAGGCTTGGGCCTAATTTTTTAGGCCAAATATTTATAAATAATATATATATATAAATGTTATTTAAAAATATTTGATAATTGATGCTTTATATATATTAAATAGAGATTAATAGAGACTTGTAGGAGATTAAAGATTTTAATCCTATGGTCTTAGATCTTACCAAATTCTAATCTAGTATTTAATGAAATATAAAAATTACTAAACCTAATCTTCTCCGCTCTCTCTCACCAATTTCACAAAACTACCACAGCACCCAATCTCTCTCTCACCAAAAGACGAATCTTCTAGTGATGAAGATAAATCTAAAGTTTAGAGTGGTTGCAAGTTTTGGGTGAAATTGAAACCATTTTCAATATTTTATTACTTATTTATTTACATTAATTTGAACTATTTTTTTTTAATTTGCTAATATCTTTTTTATTTGTAGGAGTTGAATGGAAGATGGAGCCCCTTATAGAGATGTTTAAAGTTGTTTTGTGGATATTACATGACAATGGATGGTTATTTTTTGATAGATATTATAGGTTCTAGCCTTCTAGGTTGATTTTTTGTTGATAGAATAGTTGGTTTGTTAAAATTATCATTATTAGCATGCTAATGACCAATTGAAACTTATAAATTATAAGGTATAATCATTTAATTTCTTTTATGTTAGAAGTTTTTATCTTGATATTAAGTTTAAAGTTTCTTACATGTTACTATAGTTTCCACGACAACAAGTGGAAAAAAAAAAAGTACAATTGTTTAATTTTAGAAATGAAATACAATAACTAGGCCCAGAATCTTGGCTCGGCCCAGTCCAGGCCCGGGCTTATTTTTTAGGCCCATAATTTGGGCCAGGCTGGGCCCATGCCTAGCCTAAGCCTGTTGTTATGAAGGCAAAGCCCAGCCCGGGCCGGCCTGGCCCATGATCACCCCTAATGCATAGTGCTGAGAAATCAGCGGTCCTGTAAATCATGAATGGTTTTTTGGTTGGTTTTGTTGTGATGGTTATCAATTGGTAACCGGTGGTTATCAGGAGATTTGGATGCAGGGACATTTTATTTCTTGATGTTGGGGAATCAAACTGGGGTTGCATTTGAATGTGGCGCAGAATTAAGAGTGATGGTCACTTGCAAAATCTTAAAGATATTGATATCAAGGATTATATCAGTAAGCTTGGATATGGATATGGATACAGATACGCTATGGAAACATATGGATATATATGTCCATGCATATAGGTAAGCACTTCCATTTGTAGCGTATCAGTGTACAGTGCTCAATCTTTCTCCCAGAAGCAAAGCTGCAAAGGATATTTACTAAAAAGATCAAATGCAAGTGAAACATGGCCTAAGAGGGCATGGGGCGAGCCCAACATTACTCCTTTCAAATCCTCAAAGATAATAAAGGCTCGCTCTAGCAGCTCAAGATTTAATTTTCCTGATGTGAGTCACAGCAACCAAGAGCCTTCACCACTCTCATCCATCCACACAATATTGGTTTATTCCCACCTAAACCATGCATACTTTCCACAGATATCTAGCCACCAAAAACCCTCTATTCTCTTTTCTCTCAGTACAATGATCATGAAGTAAAGAAAATATAAATGCATATTTACAAGATGTAAAGACACTAAAAAACAAAGAGGAAAGAGGGGAAATATCAATACCTGGTTATACAATTAGAACATAAACACAATTACTGTATATTTTAGTTCTTGAAATATTTCAACCCTTTTGCCAAATTACATGCCATGTCAAAACAGGCTTCAAACATTTTCTGACTGGGAAGGCTCAGAGGGCTTGGTGAGTGGTGCTCTGTTTTCTGAATCAACCTCAAAATAAATCTCTTCCTTCTTAGAAGAAGGATACAACAGATAATGTTGGCAAATGAAAAGAAGGTCGAAGAAGACTGATACCTGGCCAAAACAAACCATAATCAGTTGGGCTCTCAATGAGAGGCAAATGGAAGCTGAACATACTTCACTTGCCACTCCAAATGTCAGTTCAGAGCTTCGTCACAAATCTAATACAAAGAATAATTCAGTGAAACCAATAGAGGTTGTGTTTGATACTTCATTTGTTTATATTTTTATTTTTTTCATGAATATCAATTCCTTGTTAGTTGGTAGTCTATAAGAAAAGATCTACCTGAACATCTAGTGTGTTCCTTTTACCATACTTTCTTCGTTGGTCAAGTTGTCAAGTAACTTTGCAAGTAATAGCAATGGACTATTTCCTTTGTGGTTTGAACTAAACATGTTCAAGGTCTTATTATTGGCTATGTATTTCAGAAATACAACTGACAACTTTGAAAGATGTCAAAAATATTTGAATTGGTCCAAAATTCAGAAAATGTATTTTACTTTTTCTTGTAACCACCAGAAAGCTAGTATAAGTACCTAATTTTGTATGCGCAATCACAACTTCTATGCTAAGTGAAAGGTGGTAAAGTGCCAGAAAAGTGAACTGATCGATTTCAAATGCATGATATTTAAATCAAAATACAAATTTCCCATTTTCAGCAGATAAGTTGTAATATGAGAAGAGAAACACATTTTATACCAAGGAAAGGAGGGTCTTCCCTATATTTCCATAGAAGTTAACCCAAGAACCTGCATAACAAAGGGAAGAACACATCATTTTGCAAACAGAAGTTTTAGTTTCAAATGGTACAATTCTTTCCTGAAGGAAAAGAGCATACCCTGGTCTATAGACTGCATAGCCATCTGCGCATAGTTAGTCAAACCTCCAAGTAGATCAAGTAAAATGTTTCCAATGCTCCACCCTTCAGTGCTCTTTCTCATAAAGTTCATTAAAACCTAGATTTTGAAACGTAGTCCATTAATACAGGAGGAATGACTACTCTTACAATTCTTTTTCCCAAATAGAAAGGTGGAAGTGGTGAAATGGGAAATGGGAAACTCATTTAACATCAAATACCATAAAACAAAAACTTGTTAAAAATGTTGTCAAATGAGGCATTTGCACCAAACTTAGGTTTGGGAGGGATTCCAAAATTATGCATGATTTTTAATGAATGTTGGGAAGATGCCCAATTTCTTATCAAACAAAACATAATAGAAATTGAGAAAGAGGGTAAATGATGAAAAATGCTAAGAATAGCTTAAAGTATAACCAATGATCCATGAAGAAAGTAGCTCTAACCTGGGGAATGTATTTGATCACTGTCATGACAACTTGAATTGTACTGCAAAATGAACAAAATTGTGAATAATTAGAATTGGTTTCTCTATTGTTGAATTACTTGATTAAACCATCAGAAGTGGTTCAAATTCTAGATATTATTTGGATAAATTGAAGATAAAGGTAATAAAAAAGGAAGATTACATATTGCTAGTGCAATAGGCATAATTTTCATAACATTTTGCCAAGCTTCTAAAGGTTGTTTATTGGTTTATAAAGATTACCATAGGATATATTGAAGTGCATTGGTACATACAGTCTATGGCATCATATAGAAGTTTGAAGAAAAAAGTCCATTTATATTTCAACATGCAGTCTATTAATTTTACCCATACAAATGTGATCAACCTTTTGAAATGATGTAAAGCGTCAAAAAAATTTGAAATAATGTAACATGATGCCAAACTAGATCAAACAGAGAACCCAAGTAGAAAATAGCATTATCTGACAGATCAACATGGAGAAGGAACATCAAGTGATTCAGATTTTAAAGAAGTGTATCAATATATTAAAAGAAAACATCCTGGACATTAGAACTCAAAAGTCAATTAAGCAAAGATAGCTCTTCCTGAAAAGTTAATAGTTTGTAACAACTCCCATTCACCCAAATAAGTACATTAGAAAAAAGGGAACTCACTTGAAGACAGAGATTAGCCAAAGCCATGAGTGGTTTGGCAATGCTATGAATAGACAAACTATGGCAGAAACCCAGACAGCAGATGTGATTGCAATACAAGTTTTTGAGACCTTTTGGCTTCCACGCTGTACAAAACACGTCAATATGCTAAGTAAAATGCGTAACTTCATTATAATAGCTGTCTCTACAAAATGTTCAATTGCTCAAATAAATAATTAAGAAATTTGCACTAATGAACATGGATTTGATTGAATTACATCATAGATTAGAACTTGGTACAAGGTAATGGTTGTCAATAGAACAGCATGCATTGAGAATGCTACATCATTTGCAGCTACAGGGATCATCTGCAACAAAGCAAACAATTGATAAGAACAACAACAAAAAAACTTTGAAAAATACAAAACCATTGTTGTTTCTGTTGTACTTTTTTTTATCAGTTTGTTTCTGTTGTACTTTTGAACCATTAATTAGTGGTTTGCACATTTACCAAAACTGGAACGTGCCAGGAGAATCAACTAAAAATGTCTAAAAGTATATACAAATGGATAAAATGGAAACTAAATTGACTTCTTGCAGTGAGAATTATATGAACTAGACATATAATTTCTGTAATCATAAATAGATACAGCAACAGAGATAAAAACCAAAAATGTAATGCAGTCTGTCTATAAATAATATGAGCTTTCTGGATGGTAAAAAAAAATGGATATTCCCATAAAATATCATAACAGAAAAATCACCAACTCACAAAATTCATGTTCTATCATCTTTAGGTCATTTTTGGTACATACGCTGCTGGTTCCATGCCCAGTAAGAAGGAGGGTTTTGTCAGGTTGGTAGCGGGCACTAAAACTTTAGACAAACTCTAATGAATTACCAAAAAGAATATGTGTTATAGTGAAATGATTCAGGGCCCATAGCAATGGATATGATACTGAACAGAGTAGATTGCTGGAACAGGATTCGTTTAGCTGATCCCATATAGTTGGGAGAACGCTTAGTTTAGCTGAGGTACCACTAGGTAACAACAATAACAAGCCAACTCCTGAGAATTGGAAAACTAGCATCAACTGAATGCTGACACAATAAATAGTCAAATCATTCTTTCAAATGGTATTGACCACTTATCTTATTCGCAAGATAAAAGTAGGAAATTCAATAACCTATATGTATGTCAATAACACATGGAACATGCATAATCTAGCTTAATATTCCAATTGTTTTGCATCATATATGTAACAAAGTCAGCAATCAGCCCAAATTATACTAAACCTACAATTGTTGGTCTCAAGATCCAAGAACATCCTCATATGTTCCACTATGTTGGGGCATCAACATTAATCCTTAGTAACCACTTTCTTTTACTTTGTTTGTGTCCAAAATTTCCAAACAAGAGACCTAACTTCAAAGAAAACATAAACAACTAAGTTCGCTAAAACAACACAACTGTCTCCATAGTGAGAAATTGTAGTACCAAGAGTGTTAACCCTAAATTGCAAACTGGAGTAGTAATTTTCAATTAATTCAAACTAGCACAAGTGGGTAACTAATAAGGACAGTTCTAAAATCATTTTTAACTAAAGGAGAGGCGCCACGAGAATCAATATAATCAATCAATCAGTTAAACATATAAAAAGGGAAGACCAAAAAACCCCATACACGGCTGCACAGATAAACAAACGTAGAAAGACTTCCAACTACAAACCTGTGAATAGCCATACTTCTCGCGGTATTGCCTCTGAATAAAAGGACTAAAGAAAAGAGAAGCGTTGTAGATGAGATACGAAGAGTGCTTCGTAAAATTCAGAATCAAAAAGTCGAAATTCAACCCCACGACACTTCAAAAACAATAAGTTAATGAAAAGTTAATAAATAAATACATAAAGAGGCAATCAAATAGAAGGATAAAAATTCAAGCACAAACGTGTACTAGGAAAAAGGAGAAAAGATTATAGAAATATATAAGAGAAAAGAAATACCTTTTCCTCCTGAAGTTCAAGATGACTTGTGGGTAGAAGCTAAAGGACCAAGAAAAGAAAGCGATCCAACCGAAAACCTGGTAGCTGATTTCGAATGGAAGAGAATTCCATGACGCCATTTTCTCTTCACTCGTAAGGAAAAAGTAATTCGGAGCGAAATTGCTCCGAGCGTTGCCAGAGAATATAGGAGGAAAAAAAAGAATGAGACTATGACTTTGAAAATATCCTCGCACTTTTCTAAAAAGCCACAGTCCAATCCAGTAATAGAAGTACAAAATCAGTATTCAAAGAGTGTGGGGGGGTGAGAGAGGGGTTTGAGTCTTAGGAGTTGGAGAATGGAGAGTGGTGATTCGCTGATTCTGATTCAACAACCGCACTCACGCTGATGCCTGTGTTTTCATTTGTGTATTGAGTGATGAAGACGGAAGAGCGCTCCTCAATAAACTTTCAAACGTCTCACTGCAATACCTAAATTTTTAAAAAAGTGTTAGGTTGGTCCTCGCCGTTAATCGATCGTCAGTTATAAAATATCAAAATTATCTTTTAAAAAAATATACTGTTCATTATTTTCTATCTCTAAAAATTGAATGATTATTTTCAAAGAAAATAAGAGAAAAAGCATAAAATATGATAAAAGAAAACAATATTCAAAACAAAAAAATAATTAAATAAAAATCTACAATAACTTTATTAATTTAGAATAAATATCTCAACTAATTCAGTCTCAAGATAGAAAAAGACAATAAACCATCTCCTTTTAAGGGATATTTTTGACATTTTAAAAAAATAACTGACGATCAATTAATGGCGGATACCAACTTCACACTACCCAAAGGTCAGGATAATAAAGTAGAATTTTACTTTTTTTTTTTTCCTCACCCAAGTGACGAATCTGGACGTGGATCTGCCTCTATTCATATTTTTGGGGAATCTGTGATGAAGGCAATTAATTGTAGGCTGTTTTGACTTTTGAGAACCATGATGATTTTCTTCTGCGCCGCACCTCATATTCGAATAGGTCATCCGGGACGCGCACTCATCTCCATCATCGAGGAAAACAGACATGGGCCCGCTTTATTGATTCGCCGTGGAAGGTAGTGATCTCTGTGTCTATGTGATCGTGAACGCCCGAGATGTTTTAGCATCGCTTCTCTTGTAGTTGGCATGGCATGGGCTACACCTGTTCTCGTAAGACAACCCTATAATTATTGAGATTACTCTATAATTTGCTTATTATCAAAATACAGTCTTTTTTTTTTTTTTGAAAAGAAACAAAAATGTATCAAAATACAGTCTTAACTTTTTGAGAATGGTTTTTATTCCAAAAAAATTAATAAAAACAAACAAGAAATAAAAGTAAAAATAGAGGAAGATAACGAAAACAAAAAAAAATAAAATTGATGATAAAAGAAAATTATTTTTATTATATTTTTGTTTTTTATTTTCTGTTATATTTCCTCTCATTATCTGTTTTATTTTTATCTTTTTATTCTGTAATTTCAAATTGACGTTTCAATTATCTATTTTGATTTAATAATTTTGGTCGAAGAGTTGTTAGTGTCAAAAATCTGATTTTATACTATAAAAAGCACAAATGAGGCATGAGATTTCTAGAGTTTTTTTACTAAAATATCCTTCATTTTGAATTTAAACACTTTATTTTGGGGGTAAAAAAATATAATTTCAATACCACTATTCAGCTCATTCAATTCCTTCTCATTAAATTCCATATTCAAGCTATTAACTCCTATTAATTTTTGAATCTTTTCTTGACTAAAATACCTTTCAATTTAAAGTTGGACATTCTTCATTTTTTGGGCAGAAAATATAATTTTAATGCTACTATTTAATTCATTCAATTTTTTCTCATTAAATCCCATATTTAAGGTATTAACTTCTATTCTCTATCATCAAATCCTATATTTAAGGTATTTTTTGTTTTTTATCATTAAATTCCATTAATTAAGTCCATAAATAATTATTTTCCTAATATAAAAAACCTAGATTTTTAAGATCGACCCATAAATGAATCCGCTTTTTTTTCCTTCTAGGTGGTGGGTAAGTAATTCAACCATTTGGGCCAAATGGGTCATCATCCCATGATGCCATAATTAAATAATAAAAATTAAAAATAGATAAATATACAGAAAATTTTGGGCACAACACTATTATTATATATTGTCATATTAAAAACAAGTATTATATTTTTTGTAAATTAAAACTTTATTAAAAGAGAAAAAAGGAAGTATATACAGCATAAACACCCAAATAAAGTAGGTAAAAAACCCAAACCACACAATGACAACCCAAAAAATAAATATGATAAATATGAAGTATTTATTAATGATGGAAATAGAATATAAGATTTAAAACCAATAAAAAATGAAACCATTTTCTATCTAGGTGGTAGGTCAATGGTTCAACCATTTGGGTTGAATTGGTTAACCTATGGTGTCATAATTAAAAAATATTTTTAAAAAATAAAGGAATACAAAAAATTACGAGAAAAAGTACAAAAAATAATAGTACAATTTTGGGCACATGTATAATATTATATATTTGGCATATTAAAAACTGTGTAGTAAATAAGAATTGTTTTTTATTAATGATAAAAGTGGAATACAAAAATTAGAAAAAAAAGTGATGTATGACTTGTGATCTCACTAACTAGGTTAAATGGTTATTAGCTGACCATGTTGCTAACCAAGTAAATGGTTTTTTGTAAGTAATTGGTTTGGTGGTAAATGGACTCTGAAATCATTGTAAGGTGATGGGTTTACCTATTTGGCCAGTTGTTTTGACCATGGGACAAAACCAATATTTTAAAAATTAATTTCAATTGTATTTTCCTCCCAATTAAACAAGTTAACTTGTGATGTCATAAAATAAATAATGGAAATACAAAATATTAAAAATGTAAATTTTATAAAAAATTAACATGTCTTTAATATTATATATATATATATATATATATATATATATATATATTAATTGATCAAACCCATGAATGAATTTTAATGAATACTACTTGATTTGTGACATATAAAGGAACCAAGGAATAGTTACAAAAGGAAAAAAAGAAGATAAAGTAAATTGAGATGGTTTGATCATGTGCATGCAAAATCATATTTAACATCTATTTGGAAAAAATGATGAATTTAATATTGAAGGGGTAATAAAAGCTAGGGAAATTTTGAGGACATTTGTGGAACTAAGAAAATATAATACAAGTGTCCATAATTTAACGATGGATATAGTGTTGTGTTGAATAGAATTGAATGGTGAAGAGGATTCCTATAGTTGATCCCATGTAGTTCAGACCAGTGTTTCCGAACCACTATTGACTTGGATGGTTGGATCATTTGGCTCGGGAATTGTTCAGGCAACCGATTCCATTTTACCCCAAATCTGATCCTTGGCCAAGAATCATTGAATTGGTCAGTAACATGCTGACCCAGACAGTCAAACTATTGACCCATTGGAATGGGCCATCCGTTTGAACTTAACGGTTGAACTGTCATCCTAAAAACCGCTGGCCAAAATTATTTCAATTTTAGGTCATTTTTTAAAACCTTGATTGAGACAAAATTGTTAGATGACAACGATAACCACCTAGTTGGTGATCACTTTTATGATACCAGTTACATAATGTTATCTTTGTTATATGAATTTTGATAATAACATCTAAATCTTATCACCATTATCATTAGAAATTGTCACATATCATGCATGTACACTTGGGGTGAATTATCGGTTTATTTGGTTAAAATTGAAAATTTGAATCGAAACCAAAATAATGAAAATCGTAATAACTGAAACCGAAAATTTTCGGTTAATATTGATTTTTTTAGTTAATTGAATTTTCTAACTTAAAAATCAAAACCGAAAATGAAAAACATTTATTCATTTATTCATTTCTTTTATTAAACAATGCTCACTCCTACCTCTAACTGGGCATTCAGCTGGCTTGGGCAGGATAGCTTTTAGCAAATAGGTATCATGTACTTGGGGGTAGTCTTACTTTAGTGCCTAAACTTTTTAGTGTGCCACTTTAGTATTTAAATTTTTAGAAATATACACTTAGGTCCAATTCCACTAAATTACCACTACGACTAGGGGTAATTATGAAAATGCCCATGTTTTGTGTTCTAATTCTCTTGTTTCATTGTTCTTCTATCTTTAGACTTTGGATGCAGACCAATGGTGGCATTTTCATATTTTAAAACAAAACCACACATGAATTGAGACTTTATCAAGTTTGATTTGCATTCGAAGGCAGAAGAAGATGAGCAATGAGAAAAGAGAACCAAAACATACGTGATGTAGGTGCACACAACCCGGACCTATGGTGTGCACGCACGTGGCGAACGGTGGTGTACAAGATGGACCCAATGAGGGCCTGCACAAAGCAAAGGTCGACGTGCAGCCCGAAACCAATGGCGCTGCTGCAGCAACCCCAGATGACCGTGCTCCTTAGGGCCGGGCCACATCCTGGCCGTCCACGCCCACCTACCTCCAAGCGATCTCAAGTATAAATAGGGGGCAACCTTCTCAAGGTAGACATCTGAAAAACCGGAACTAAGTATCAAGAACAAGAACTTGAGAACTCTTAGTCTCCTTTGTGGCCTCGTTTGACTGTTTACACCTTAGGCCTCGTCCACCTTGCACTACCCTCATACTAACTTGACCGTTGGAGTCTCCGCCTCGGGTACCAACCCGAGGCCTCTGGCATTCTCCTTCCTTTACTCCTTAAAGGATCGGCCTACCAGCCTCGACCACTCTGGGCCTCAGACTACTCAACCACACCTCGACTTGGGAGCGAATCAACAGCGTTGCCCTCGGCCCATTTTGCCCAACAACAATTGGCGTCGTCTGTGGGAACATCGCTAAGGCTTCCTTCAACTAAACTCCTAAGCTTCAGCCGACATAGCAAGGAACACTAGGAAGACTCAGAACCTGGTCACGATGGACCAGTTTCAAGCAATCTTCAACTGGCTCGACAACCTCACATAGAGACTGGAGGAGGTGGGGGACCTGACAGGAGGCCACCCTTAGGGTAGCCTCCCTACTGGAAGCCTGGGGCACCATGGCAAGCACACGTCTTTGAACTTGTTAGCCATTGGCCTAGTCGGATCCCACAGAGCTGACCCTTCAGAGTCCAACAGCCGTCGACACGCCAACCAGCTGCCAAAGACGACCCGACCCCCCAGCCGAAAAGGGGGTGAATCGGCTAAGTCTTGCAACTACCACCGAGACCAAGGACATCACCGCTGCTGATGAGAAAGCCCACGGGCGGKCAAGCCGCCACAACCCCCCTTTGGGGGCCGATGCCACGCCTCTCCCTCTCGCATCTCAGATCTCTGAGACCTCCTAAACGACAGGTGGGCCAGAAGAAGCAAACACAT